TTTTTTTTTTTTTTAATTAAATGTTTGCTTGAAGGTTTTTTTTTTTAGATGAAATTGTGTACGTTTAATATAAGAAAACATAAGATTTCATGCAGTTTGTTTTATTTGTTCTTTTAATTCATTGGAACAGACCAATCTTTGCCGGCAATTATATTATTCACGACCTATTACGAGGCCAGTAAGTTCAAATGAATTTACTTTGTTTAATCAAGCTAGCTGCTTCTCTTTGTGATATAATTGGGAGACGATAATCACACACCTTGTTTCTTCCCCTACACAACCCTCTTAATCATTTGTGTTGTTTCCCCTTGATTTGTTCAATCTGACACCCGTAAATGAAGAAAAGTGTGTAGGAAGAGAACTAATGTGTGTGATTATCGTCACCCTAAACTAAACTGCTCCGTTCCCAACTAAGTGTTTGATGTACTCTTCTTGTGCAGTGTCTCATGTCACTTCTGATATGTTTATGGAAATGTGTGAGCCTTTCCCACATGTAATAGCATATGAGTTCCTCCTTGATCCTGAGGTGTGCCACTGTAATCCAGTTTTCTATTATCCCTTTTTTTTTTACCTTAGGGAAGCTATTGAGTTTCTGCTAAGTTTTTTAATCCAAACTTAAGAATTAAGAAATAGGTCAAAACAACTTAGGGGTTGTTTAGTATTTAAACTGAAAGTAATTTACAGTTTAAAATGACGAATTTAACAGTTTAAAGAGGCTCTTGTTTGTTTCATATAGGTCTGAGAATGGAAAAAATAGTTTACCACATGTTTGATAAGGGTCGTGCTATCCATATATACCCCCATTTTTACCATCCATATATCTCTTGTTAATTATTGTCCTTTGATCTTCTTTAATTCATTCAATCGGACGGTTGAAAATTAAGAAGGTGTATGAGAAGTAAAAAATGATAAGTGGATAGCACCACCCTTTGATAAATCTGCTTTAGAACCTTGAAGCCTCTCCCCTCGTATTTGCTTTTACTTTCGTCTCAGAAAGCTCTTCCCATTCCCAAAAGGCTTCGTTTTTGGTATGGAGGATTATATTAGATGGATAAGACGTATTTTAAAAGGTACGTTTGAAAAAAGAAATGAAAATTTTGTGGCTAACTTGGAGACTTTAGAAGAAAAGTTAATGGTGCCAATCCTCTCCAAAATGGGAGGATTTAGAAGGGAGAAATATTTTTTTCATGTCTAATCCTCTTTTAATTCTATCAAAAGGAAAATAACTCCACTCTAACTTCAAAACCTCAAATTAGATAATGAAAATTTGATTCCTGGAACTATATAAGACTAATATTAGTGACTTAGTGTTGTATCTGATTGATTTTTGAATGTTCCCAGTAGCGACGGTTGAGAATGAAACTTATATTGATGAAAAGATGGCCCTTACATAAGCTTATAAGTAGTTGAAATATTCCTCATATTGCCGATCAGTTGTATTATAATTTGATTGTTATAAGTTAAAATGTGATCGTTAGCTAGGTCATGTACCATGCCGTAATTGCCATCTGCATATGTGAGCCTGCTTAAAGAACAAATATGATATCTTATTATGCCTGATCATTTAGTTAATTAATCTAACATTGTTTAGTCTCTATATGTAGGAAGACAACTACAAAAGCATACTGGAAAATCTTAATATTCCCCGTACGGTAAATTATTTGACCCTTTAAATTTTGTTTGGAGCTAAGAATGTTCTTAGCTTAGCTCCACGATTTAGTTGTTCATATCTTTATCCTTAATTTGTTTCTAATATACGATTTATATACCTTTTGTAGCCAACGTTTCATTTCTATCAAAATGGGAAAAAGGTAGCTGAGATAACCCGTAAAAACTGGGAGAGTGAAGCTTACGAGATCTCCTTGAAAAAGACTCTTGTGAAACTCTACGTGTAAGTATTTTCTAGATTATCTTATATTTGTTGCGAATGAATCTCATATCGATGAGAAAAATAAACTTTGCATGGTTTATAAGTAGGGATATTTCTCATATTACGAATTGGTTTTATGCTAGAACCTTAACCTTCTTCACAATGTCAGAGCAAATTATCCCACATGTAAAGTCCAAGGGGCACATGTGCTCTACATCATCTGTTTATGTTATCTACGTGTTTGACTCAAAAATTGACCACACGTGAGAGAGCGTGTTGAGAATGAATCTCACATTGATAGAAGAAGAACATTGCATAAGCTCATAAGTAATTAAGTTAGGTTACTCCCATATTGCCAGTTAGTTTTATTGCCAGTTAGTTTTACGGTGGATGTAATCTCAACTTTCTTCACATTTTGCGTGCTTTTGTGAATTTATGAACGTGATTTTTTTTTTTTTTTTTTTACTTCTTCTCATGATATATTGATTGAATTATAGAAAATAGTCGTTGAATTTTCTCATCTTGCAGTCCTCAACCTAGAGAAAGATCATCTGATAAGGAGGAGAGGAGTAGAGTTGAAGATACGTTGAGGTACAGAAAGATCACCTGGCAATAAGGAGAGAAGGAGTTGAATTGTCGGTCGAATCGAATCCATCGCCCCGTTCCAAGTCCTTGATGTCCGACGAATCGCCGAACACTTGCCGGCCGGAGAATTTCTTTGGTTATCAGCATCCATTGTCACAAGCTCCGATCTTTTACTTTTCGTTAATTGGATGAAAATGTCAAATTTTCCTTTTAACGACTTTTTTGACAGCGGTAAAATGGGCAGTTAATTTTTCAACAATAACATTGGGGAATGTTATTGTACTTCAAAAATCTAATTATATATATTTTTTTAATATAAAATATTTAAAATGTAGAATGAGATTTTTAAAATACTAATAATAATACTGAAAATATTATTCAAAAAAAAATTTCATTGGACGGTCAGCGCAGTGCACCGCCGTATGACGAGCGTCGTCGTAGACGATTACTGATTGAGTGCAACCAAACAGACACCTCGGCCGCCGTGCCGCGCCCATGCAGAGAATATATCCTCCTCCTCTCGCCGCAACCCGACACCTAACCGTCGTAGTGTCATCCTTAGAGGTCCACGTGTCATCATCGCGTAAGACGTCCCCATGCTTCCCCAGCGCTTCTTCGCACCCGTCGAATTATTCCTACCACCATTACGAACCAAGCTGGAAAGATTTTTCAATTTAACCGTCATAAAAGTGATATATTTGGTGGACTATCTGTTCGTATTTCTGTCATAACTAAAAATTTTCGCATTCGAGCACATCCACCGTTCCCGAGACGCCACGTGGTGCGGAAAATCTGATTCCAGCCGTTGATTTTTGGAGATTGTCGCCCACGTTGGAATCCCTATAAATTTGAATGAGTCCCAACGCTTCGTTTCATCTTCTCCGTTTTATTTCGAGAGTCGAAAGGCATCGAAGGTTTTGAAAGCAGAGCAAAAATGGCAGATTCTGAAGCATCGCAGTCTACACAAACGGTAAACTCTCTCTCTTGTTCTGTTTGGTTGCCGAGAAAGTGATAGAAAAGTTCGATTATTTTTCTTTTCGGAATTATGAAACTGTTGGTTTTGATAGTGTTATGTTTGGTTGCCAAGAAAGTGACAGAAAAGCTTTTTTTTTTTTTTTTTTTTTGAATTTATGAAAATGCTCTGTTGATTTTGATTTGGAAACTTTCTGTTTGGTTGCCGAGAAAGTGACGAAAGTTTCTAATTTTTCCCTTTCGGATCTTGATTTGTAGGTGCGAGTGGACGAGAAGAAGCTCAAGTATTTGGAATTCGTTCAGGTGGCGGCGATTTACGTGGTCGTGTGCTTCTCGAGCCTGTACGAGTACGCAAAGGAGAACTCCGGTCCGCTTAAACTAGGGGTTCAGACGGTGGAAGGCACCGTCCGAACCGTAATCGGACCGGTCTACGAGAAGTTACACGGCCTTCCCTTCCAATTCCTCAAATTCGTCGATCGCAAGGTCAGTCTAAAACCCTACGTTCCGCCGCCCGTTGATTTTACAGTGTAAACAGTTGATAGTTTCTCGATCGCGGTCACGTGATTTGCAGGTGGATGAGTCATTGAGCGAGGTGGACCGTCACTTGCCAATTCTGGTGAAGCAGGCGTCGAGCCAGGCGCTATCGGTGGCGAGAGCGGTGGAGCGAGGCGGCTTGATGAGCACGGCTGAGAATATTACTGTGAGCGTGTACTACAAGTACGAGCCGGTGGCGGAGCAGTACGCCGTGTCGGCTTGGCGAGCGCTAAACCGGCTGCCGCTGTTTCCACTGGTGGCTCAGATAATAGTCCCAACCGTGTCGTACTGGTCCAACATGTACAATCAGGGCCGTCGGGTACACTGCCAACAGAGGCTACTCCGTGGCAGCGTATCTGCCGTTGATTCCGACGGAGAGGATTGCCGAGGTGTTTGAAGCAGAGAACGTGGTTGCCGTTCCGACGAAAGGTGGGGCTGTTACAGCGCAGCGGTGATGACCGTTGATCCGGGCTGGGGGCTTTATGGTCTTTTAGCTTTTTCTTTATTTTCCGAATGTGAAGTTTATTTTGAGCCCGTTTTGGAGCTCGCGTTTTGAATTATAATCCAAAAAATTGCCGTAGGAAACAAGGAGAGAAAGAAAGCGTTGAAGTAGTGCCTCTATTGCGTTTTTATCGTTTTCAGCAAAAACGGTGCTATTCACACATTTTACAAAATTTTTAACTGTCAAATCAAATAAATCGAAGAAGATTAAAATAATAGAAACTAACAAAATGCGTGTGAATAGCACCATCCTTTGAACAATATACATTCAAAATAAATCGATTGTTTGATTTATTAATGTAGAATTGCTCTTTAGAGCTTCTAAGAGATTAACGAATATGAGAGTATAATTTCTAAAATTTAAGCTCTAAATTATGTATAAACTAGAAATGTCATCTTCTCGACGCATCCTTAAAGAACGGATATCAGGCACAGAGAATTCTGGCTCTTACAATTACTCTATCACCAGCAGTCAGGGAAGCAAATATAAGTTGAAAAGTTATCACAAAGATTTAGGGCATCAATGGCAGAGAAAAAGTACAACTGAATAAACTCAAAACTTGTCATTAACTAGGAATCATTAATACATATAATCCGAGATTTTAACAGCACCATCTCGTTGAATAAACTCGCTCTCTAAGTTCCATCTCGTTTTCGATACTAACTAATCGCGCAATCTCAACTTTATTCGACAAAATATCAAAACATCGACGCCGTAAATATAACAGAATGGAAACAGATGACAAAATGAATAGAACGTATCTTAGTAGATGGAGTAGTTCTCACTGGCTCTGGGCCAGATGCTGTTGTAGATAGCCTTGACAACCGGAATCACAGCAATGAGTGCGAGTTGGAGTTGTTCGGAGCTGCTTGTTCTGATCGATATCTGTCCGCTGCGCTTGTTGTTCAACCCTGCACGAACAGCCATCTTGTAGTTGCGCCCGAGGGAAAACTGGGACTGGAGATTTGCCCCCAGGCCAAGTCGCCCCTCCACCGCACTAGAGACAGACCCAATGAGGATTGATCCTGGCCGATCGGAAAATCTGCTTCCCTTAGCCGCACCTCCAAATTTGCTCCATATGCTGAGTCGCCCTGAGATCGGACAGTACCAGTAGTACCCACCAATAGCAGGCGCTTGCCAACGCATACTCCTGTTCAAGTTTGAATCCAGTGGACACATTTTCACCCAAGAATGTCACAGATACTCCGGCAGCATTCTTGAACCTCTTGGAAGTCTTGACTTTAGTGTCTCCTCGGACAATGTATGCAAGTTGCTTTCCCATGTTCTGAATGTCAAACCCTAGCATACTCGACCACTTCTCCCCGTGCTTAGCACCAACCGAGGAATCTAAATGAATATTGAACTCTTTCTTATCCTTTGTAAGCTGAACAGCAACAGCTGCTGGAAAAGAATTAGCAATGGCCAGACTATGTTCAAGGTTGACACCATCATACCCACAGTCATGGTCCCAGCCTTGGGAGTCCAACACTGGCCTTGCCGTGAACTGAGAAGTCGGCTCCAAGAACCGGTACCTGTAAGCTGGATTTTCACCATCAAAAGAAGGCGGCAAAACCATATCAGGTAATGCAACCGGCACGGCTGCTGGAGCACCGTTTTCTGGATCTTCTTCACCCAAATAACCATACTCCTCTTCACTGACCTTGCCCTTCTTCTTCATTTCTTTCATCCTTCTCAACTCATCTTTCCACATCTTCTTCTGGAGGAGCTTAACCCTATAATCGTACTCCTCAGCGTACGCCTTCCTCTGCTCTCTGCTAAGCTTAGCAATCTGAGCCTTCTTGAGAGGCTTAAATGACGGAAGCTGATCATACTCATCCTCCTCTTCCTCTTGATCAGAATCAGACAAGTCAGCCAAGTCAATGTCTGAATCAGCATTCTCACCACCTTGATCGGTAGTAAGTTTTGGGTGCGGACGAGATTGCAACAGCCAAGACAACAAGTATGGAAGAGGAGCTGAACGGGAACGCAAACCAAAGAGCTTACGGTGATCAAATGATTCCGGAGGTTTGGAAAGATTAGACGCATCAGACAAGATCTTCATAGAGTAGCATAAGAGCAATAGATGGGATCTCCAAGCTACACCATTAGGGAGAACTTTCTGATTATCTCTCTTCCGACAAGATGGGTGGTTCTCTACAAGAGATATTGGACTCATCATACTTGGATTCATAAACCTTAGATCGCCAACAGCTTGTCCAATGGTCTGCTGCATGACTTGCTCCCGCTGATTACGAAACATCTCATAATTCAGAGGGGAACCTGATGGTCCATCAGGAGGAGCAGAAGAGCTGTGAGTCAGAGTCACTATGGTGCTTCGCCAAATTGAAGGACCAAGGGCATTAGTGATTGATCTTAACAATGGCACATCACTTAGATCCCTACTTCGGGAGTCCATCCGATCCACATAGAGGACAATATCTGGGGGGGACTTTTTCATGCGCCTCTGCACAGAAGATAAGATTTTGCGATTGATGCCCTGTTCCATTGCAGCAGATTTCAGACCCGGTGTATCAAAAACCTTAATCTTGACTCCATCCACCACTCCAACAATTTCTTTCACAGAAGTTGTTCCAGGTCCAAAAGCATTAATTGGGGTCACTTCTGCACCAAAAATCGAATTTATAGTGGCACTTTTCCCAACACCTGTCTTCCCAAGAACCAGTATGTTCAAGGAGAAGTCCAAATCATCCTTCTCCTCTGCTTCAAGCTGAAGAGCGGTCATCTTTGCAGCTTCAAGGCTAAATTCTTGACTGTTTTGCCTCCCTGAAACAAGAGCTAGGCGGTATAGAACCTGCCTTGGTACTGACTCTTCTGTAGAAACACCTAATCTCTGCACAAGCCTCAAGAACTTAACCCTTATTTGCTGAAACTTTTCGAGCTTTGCTTTCTCTTCTTCACTCAAGTTCTCAGAACTGCCCCCAACTGTGACATTGGAAGATGAAAAAAGGTTTGAGTTGTTTGGTCGGGAAGCAGGTTTCAACGACCGGACTGAGGATCCCAACCCAGCAGGACGCTCAACAGAGAAAAGCCTGGAGCCATCTGGGGTGGTAAAGGTAACATTGCCACCATCTGAGGAGGCACCTGTTGCGGCTTTCAGAAGAGCTGCCAGTGCATCAGAATCAAATAACTCTTTTCCGCCCCCTTCCTCATCAGTGTCCACTTCTTCATCTGAATCCGTGGCAACCTGGCCATCAATTCTCTGTGAATGATCATGATAACTGTCAGCACCTGAGTAAGAACCACCACGGGATCCTCGCTCCAACTCTTCCAAAAACTGTTTAGCAGCCTCAGAGCTTCCAAAAATCATTCCTTCATTGTTCGCATCTGTAACTGAACCTTCATTCTCACCTTCATCATCTTGAAGATCCTTATCATCATATTGAAGATCATTATCACCGTCATCGTCAGTTTCAACTCTTATCTCTCTGTTTGAAATGGAATTTGCATCCACAGATTCAATGCCAATTTCATCTGGGATATGCTTCTCCTCAACTTCCTCAACCAGCTTTACTTCGTGGCTATCAGAACTTGAATCCAGAAATTCAGGTGCCACATATTTTCCGCGGACAGCCGCTTCCAATTCATGCACTTCATCATGTGCATTCAAGTCACCGTTCTCCGGTTTTGCCTCAGTCTGCGGTTCATGTTCTGCTAAGTTCACAGTTTCCGTTTCAGCTCCATCCCCTACCGATGGTTTGTCATCTGACATCACATCAGCACCTGATTCCGTCGCCAGCCATTTCTCTCTGGTTTCGAAATTAGATTTCAGTTGATCCTTCCATTCTGGCCTCTTCTCAAAATCAACTTCATCTGCACCAGCAACAATAGCAGCTTTCTCTCCATCATGTTCTACATTCCCAGACTTGGGAACAACCGCTCCGTCACGCTCAGAATCCGAGTCATTTGGTTCTTCGGTCTCACGGCTAATTTGATCAAAACCATTATCCAAACTCACACCTTCATCAACCTCCAAGCCTTTTATTTCAGATTCCTCAATCGTCTCTACATCGCCAACGACAACAACTGCTCCTGTCTGCGACAAATTGGCATGTATATCCTGCACAACTGAGTCACCTCCACTTGTAATCTCCACTCCGTTCTCTTCAACCTCAACCAACTTCTCACCAGCTGGCCCATCCACCACCACACCATTTTCTTTACTCTCTCTCACAACTTCCCTTTCGCCATTGAAAACATGCTCCTCCTTAGGCTGCTCTACAGCCTTCTTATCATCTACTTCAGCCACCTCCACCGGCTTCTCCACCACCGGGATTTCCTCCACCACCGAGCCCAAACCCTCAACCAATTTCGAATTCTCAACTACCGTATCTTCTTCACCACCACTAACACCATTTTCCTGGACCATTTCACCCAAATTTTCACTCTTCCCCAACCCACTATCCCCCAAAACGACACCTTTAGGACCCCCACCCTCTAAACTCTTCGAATCCATAAACACTTCCTCCCCCGCATCCTCCTCGCCGTCGTCATCATCCATCGATACCTTGGCAATCGGCCGCAGACTACTCGTAGTCGTCGGATAGAAGAATTCCGACGGGTTAACAAACTTCACACCGGAATCCTCTTGCACCCCTCCAACCACCACGGTATCTCCGCCTCTCACAAACGCCCTCTCGGAATCAAAATCCTCCTCCTCCCCGCTTACAAACCCCTCCTCCGTCTCGGACCCACCACCGTCACTACCGCCACCAACCCCGCTAAATTTCTCGTCATTATCAATTTTGGAAACATGGGTTTTCGATGAATCATCGATATCAGAGTACCGAGAAGAAAGAAATGAAGAACCTGGTGCGTTTGAGAGGTGCTGCGCCTCCTCCTCTGAAGCAAAAAGCTTGGACTCCATTGGAGGCTGCTTGCTGTGAGGTGTTAATTGAAGGGTTTTGCTGCACTCTCTGGAGAGAGAGAGAGAGTGGTTTTCGGGATATGGGTTTTGTGGAAGGGACTGTGAGACTGCGTCGGGGGAGTGAGATAAGGTTTTAGGAGAGCTGGGGGGAGACGGCGTCACGGGTTCTCTTGTTTGTAGAGGGAGGACTGGGCGTGGGAGTTCCATCCGATGCTCGCACCATTCGTGAATTTACTGGATTGCCCTTTCTCCAAAGGTTTTTTATTTTATTTGCTGCATTTTTATTATTTGACTTTAACAGTCAAATTTTGTTATTTTCGTCCTTGAAATTGATGAAACAACCCTTCATTTTATGAGAAAATTAATTAATTAGGTAATATTACATAAGCTAAATTTTTAAGAGTAATGTTAAAGAAATTAAATTTATAGACTAAATTTACAAACTAAATGATGCGTCATCAATAAGAATGAGAACGTTTATCAACACTCAAGTACTAATCTAATTATCAACTTCCATGTCATTTACTTTACAACAAACAAATTTAGTCTTCATAGCATTACACAATTTTTAAACCAATTCTAATAAACCAAATAATGTTGTTATTGATGATTAGATTATTATTTAAGTGCTAGTTGACGGGCTTATTTCTTATTGCTTAAACATCATTTGGTTTACAATTTTGTTTTAAAATTTGGTTTACCTAGCATTGTTCTAATTTATTTGATATTATAAGCTGATACATCTGTTTTAACAAATGCCTTGGCGATTGAAGACTATTATTGAGGACATCAGATTACTTGCATCATCTTTTTCTTTTATATCTTGGGCTTAGGTTTTTTGCCAGGGACGAATTTTCTAGCTGATGTTATTATTAGAGTATGGGATGGATCCTTATTCACTATTGCTAGAAATATTTGTCTCTTTGATTGTTCTTAAAGTGGTTGTACTCGAAGTTTCTCTTCTTGAATATATTTACTTTTCCATACCAAAAAAAAAAAAAAGATTCATACACTTTAAGAGAGGATTGTGTTACTCACACACCCCTTGTTAATTTATGTCTTTTGAACTTCTTCAATTCCTTTAATACGACGGTCTGAAATTGAGAGGATGTGTGAGAGGTAAAAATAGTGTGTGGATAGCACCGCCCTTAAGAGATTTTGTGTGCATGTAGTTAAATATCCTAGTGGATAAGGTGTTGAGTTTACAACCATGCATATTTGGTTCGAAATTCTCCTGCCTCCTAAATTATTGTAAAATTTCGCATATTCCCTCTCCCTTAATAATAGTAATTTGATTTTTTAAACAAAAAAAAGATTATGTGAATTTAGTAAGTGGCTCTAAATTCAAGAGGCATTGTTCAACTTTACCTTGTAATTTATGAAATAAGTGCCAGGTATAATTATATGTAATTCATCTTAATACACGAGTGCTTGCTAAAGCACTATGCACAAAAGATATTTGGTTCCCATGTGAAATATTTTCCTTAAGAATTTTTAGTTCATATAGCTAGTAGATTTATGTAATTGCAAAAATATTATTAACCAAATGCTTGCCAAGCCTAATAGCGAGAGCTTATAATTAAATTAAACATGACATTAACGTGATTGATTGTTTAAAACGGTTGAGTGCAGGCTTAAGCCTACAAGGAACACTCGACCTACTGCTGTTTCAGAAGCAAATGATTTGCTACAACCGTTTGATTAGTAATAATTGGTACAATCAGTCACCCACTTGATGTACAGTTGATTCATCCAAGAGCAATCAAAATCCTCAAAGATTAGAAAATCCTCAACATCTCCATCCCCTACCCAAAGGATTGAAAGATAACTCGATCGAAAGGTAACAAGTAATTGTCAGGATTAGGGTTTTTTTTTTTTTTTTTTCCTTTCTTGTTTCTGTCAATAGCGGTTGAACTGCTCTTTGTTTGTTTGCATTTGAAAGATAACGTTTGGGAATGAAGGAATAAAATTGGGTTGTTGGCAGAGAGCAGAGTTTTGTTGTTTCTTGGTCTCTACGTGTTATCATTTGCTCCCTCTTATTCCTCATCTGCAAATGGATGGCCATAACTCTGTTCCTTCTAGGTTTAGGGTTAGGGTTTTGATTTATCCACCAAAGGTCTATTCCACCTTCTACATTGATCCGATGCTTAGTTTATATACCACCAAAGTTCAAGTCAATATCGTATGTAACATGACGTGACAGTATTATCAGATGATTGTTGCCCAAACATCAACAATTAATGCGTCTATGTAAAATTAACAAGATGATATTAGAGTGATATTCATATCAAAAAATTACTCATTATATCGAGTTGAATTCAATTATTCAATGTACTAGCTAGAGAACCATTTCATTTTCAGTTACAGGGACGGGCCATGTGAGTCTGTCAGTTGATTGGGTTAGGGTACAATGTTGGTGGCCGACATTGGTTGAGTGTGGACGGACAAGAACAACTAGGCTTGAGTTGTTAGGCCTGATGGTATTCACCGGCCCAATCTCCTGAACCCATCTTAAGAGCAGGTCATGCATGCAAACGACAAAAGTTTCATTTGAAAGTGCTTTTCAAATGACCGCAAGTGTTTTTTATGATAGTACTTTTAGAATCAATCCTTAATAAGAATAAAAGTAAATCTTAGAAAAACACTTGAAGTGTTTTTGAAATCCAAAAATATTTAAAGACTTAAAGTGTTTTTGGAACCCAAAAACACTTTTACTAAACACGCTAGTAACATTGTGTGACAATGTAACGAACATACTAAAATTATGTGTATTTGTGTATCAAAGTAAAATATATTCGCCTATAGTATATACTATTAGTTCCCGACTCAAAAGTTCTCCTAACTTATTGTCATTAGTAACTAAGTACAGTCTAGTATATTTCTCTACGCTTATAAGTTGAAAAGTTTTGAATCCGAATCATATGGATAACGAGTTTGATATGCAATCTATTATTGTTGGTCAATTGTATGTCAGCCATAGTCCATAGACACCATAAAATATGATATTGTTATATAAAACACAATTATGACTTATCTGTTAATTGGCTATGCTTGTTCCAATTGCACATCGTAATACAAACTAACTCATTAAGTTTCATTTGATAAATATATCGTATATAATTTTTGGATTTTGTTCTTGTGTTAGAAATGGAAGGGATGTACATGTGAGAAACGGGATATAGAATATGAATAGTAGGATCCAATTTAGTATCACTTCATTCAATATTTTGTTATCATTTACTCTTTCATTAACCCTTTTCGTCGTATACTTTTTTTTGATAAAAATAATTATCAAACCAGTCTTACATTTCACGACGTAGTTTGTTTATGTCCGAAAAAAGCTTGAAAATGGAGAGTAAGATTCGACTAGTGTGGAGACAATTAACAATTAGATATTTGGTGAGGCACATGAGATTGGCTTTTGCCAAATGATTAAAGCTAATCGTCAAAAACAAAAACCTAAATTCATGATCAAATCTGCGTGATCCTTACCCACTTTCTAAGGTCCATGTATTTTATGCTAATTATTACTATTAGAAGCGGAAGAATTCGAAATTATTATAATAAATTAAAAGTGAGAGAGTTTTGAACTCAAAACACATGATTATAAACTCAACACATGAATATGTAATTCACAGATCATAATAACTAGATCAACCTTGAATACTTCCACATTTCCATCAACATCGTGAATGCATATGGAACACTGCTTTGACTCCTTATAATTAAATAACTGATACGTACATGGAGTCGATGAATTAAAAGCATATAAAGAAGAAATTTCGTTCGAAAATCATGAACTAGCCTAACATACAAGGAGACAAGACATAGAATCGTGGCCATATGACCTTAAACTCTTGCGGGCGAGTGCACATATTCTTCTTCTATTTAGTATTTACAGCCTTGCACTAGTTGGTAACTTGGTATGACAAGAAACCAAGTTGCCTGCATATTTTTATTTGTGGAACTTCCTCAATTTTTTTTCATGGTATTAGAGCAAGTTGCTTCTATATGAAACCCAACGACCATCGTACTTCATGTCATCCGATTTGTATTATCTATGTGTTAGGCTTGACAATTCGTAACACGTGAGGAGGCGTGTTGAGAGTATTGATCCCAAATTGGAAAAAGAAAGGACCTTGCATGAACTTATAAGTAATTGAGCTACTTCTTATATTGTCAATTGGTTTTACGGTTGAACTTCAATTTTCTTCATGAAGATTTGTAAAACTGAATGAATAATATTATTGATAGCACAAAGTGCGATTATATACACGTGTATACTTGACGTACAAGAGACAATAACTTAATACACAAGAAATAAAACTATGAAAGGATTCCTAAAACTAAAGAGAGTTGGATTCAAGGCAATCAAGAATTAGGCGAGTAAGACTATACATGCGGGTTTTAGTAGTTAAGCTACTATGTAGTCTCCCTTCCTTCCACTCATAGCAGTTGGAAGGAACCGAATGCATGTTTACTTAAAATAAAAAAAAATAAAAAAAATGAAGGAATCGGAAAACTAAAAAGGAGAAACTTACACTTTTTCAATTTCTTACTTGTAAGTAAACACATGGAAAAATTAAGAATTGAAATAATTCTCATACCTATATTTTAGTAAACGCAAAAAACTAAGGAACCAAATTATTTCAATTCATATTCCTTGTAACTAAACATGACCCAAATTTTCCACATGAAACGCCCCTCGTCCCCCTAAAACCCACTAACCAAACCAAATAAAACAATCTTAAAAAAGAAGAGGAGAAATTAAATGGGAAGTCTTCCGAATCATGTACAAAAAGAAGGTGAGAAATTAAATGGAAGGCTATCCGAATCATGTACAAACACTGTCGATCCGTGCAAAATTCATGAAGTTTGGTTGATCAATTTAATCAGTTGATGTTTGGTTTGGCATGTTGGATTGTACTTGGTTGGAGCTAGTTGCAGCACATACTTATCACTTGGAGATTTTTTATGGTAAAAATATTTGGATACTTTGGAGTATTCAGTATTTTCGGTATTTTAATTGTTAAATTTAGATTTTGAATTTGTATATAAAAATTTAATAGTTAAAACACTATGAGTATTCGCCATTCTGCTTGTGATCTTGTCAACATAAACTGCAATTTGGCAAGTACAAAATTACACCAATTTTGCATCAACAAAACAACAGTAAAAGGTCATCAATAAATTTATTGTG